GTGGATAAAATGGATAGGAGTAAAGATAGGCAGGGTGCATGGCAAACTATCGGGGAGTTATTGCAATACTCTAGCTAATGGTTACGATGATCTGGGTATTTGCAGTAGGAATAGAAAGAAAATTATAGAGGTAGGAGATATTTGGGGAGTTTCAAACATAGGTACTGGGGAGAAAAAGGCAGGCTAATATACTTCAGAGAAATATAAAGCCCAGATTGAGAATATAGGAAAAGATGGTGAATTTAACTTTGCATAAATTTGATGTGCTATCAGGAGAAAGTGGTGTTCACCTTGGATCTTTAATACTTTGAATGGGTGAATGAACAAATAGATATTTGTTCAACACAAATTTAGGAGATATGCACCTGAAGATGTGTGTGCAATTCTGGATAGCTCAGAGATATCTAGTGGTAATCTGCAGCATTTTCACAATAAAGAGACCAGGGCGATGACAGAGAAAATCCTGCTATTATACGTGAAGAGTCTGGTGATGTTTAGCCTAGAGAAGCAAGTCTTGAGAATTAGGCATAGCCATAGTCTTTCATATTTGAATGTACATAATGTGAACACCATACTTAAGATTTTTTAAAATGGCACAGTAATATTATCTAACATGAATTCCAAATTCATATTTCTCCAATTGTCCCAATAATGTTCTCTATAGATTTCTTTTTTTTCCTTCTTTTTCTCCCCAAGATTCAAAGGTAAAGAAACATCTACATGAGGGAACCAATTTCTAGTAATTATATACATATATGATGCAAAAAGATGTGACTTGGGGGTAAAGAAAGCTAACAAGATCTCAGGCTGTATTAATAGAGAAATACTGACCAAAGCAATCATCTTGTTCTTCACTGCCCTGGTTAGACTGCACCCAGAAACATGTGTGCAGTTACAGATGGATCATTTAGAGCCATTAATGATAATCTGGAGTGTGTTCAAAATAAACAGATCAGGGTCATAGGGGATGCAAAACCCTGCAGTTGCACATGAGGATTCTGGAGATATGTAGCCTGGGTAAGCAAAGACTTGGGGAATGGTCATAGCTGTGGTCTTTAAATATTTGAATGACTACTGTTACGGGTTCAATTGTGTCCTCACAAAAAGATATGATGACGTCCTAACCCCCGTACTTCAGAATGTGACCTTATTTGGAAATAGGATTCTTGCAGCTATAATTAATTAAGATGAAGTCATGATGGAGTAAGGTTGGCCTCTAATCCAATATGATTAGCGGCCTTTAAGAAGATGGCCACGTGAAGAGAGAGACACAGAAAAACGCCATATTATGATGAAGGCAGAGATTGTCATTATATAGCTGCAAGTCACAGAACAGCAAAGATTGCTGGCAAACCACCAGAAGCTAGAAAGAGGCAAGAAAAGATTTCACTTCAGTTTCCAGAGGGCAGGGCCAACATCCAGAGCTGAGGGGGTCGTGGCCACCACCCTGTTGGGCTAGGAAAAGAGAGCACTAAGCCACAGAAAATTATTCTTAAACCTTAAAACCTAATGGAATTTGCCCGGCTGAGTTGCAATGTTGCTTTAGAACAATGACCCCTTTTTCTTTCCAATTTCTCCCTTTTAGAATGGGAAAGTCTATACTATGCCTGCCCCACCATTGTATCTTGGAAGTAGACAATTGTTTTCTAGGCTTCACTGGTCCACAGATGGAGAGAAATTTTGCCTTGGGAAGGACCATACCCCAAATGTAACCCATTCTAGATTTAGATGAGATTTTGGATTTAGATGGGATGCTGGAATGGGTTAAGAATTTGGAGGCCAATGTGATGAGTGAATGTATTTTGCACGTGGGAAGGATATAAATTTTTAAGGACCAGAGGGAAGACTGTTATGGATTGAATTGTGTCCCTCTCAAAAAAAGATGTTGAAGTGCTAACTCCTCGTACCTCAGAATGTGACCTTATCTGGAAATAGCGCCATTGCAGATATAATTAGTTAAGATGAAGTCATATTGGAGTAGAGAGAGCCCATAATCCAATATGCCTGGTGTCCTTATAAGAAGACAGCCATGTGAAGACAGGGACACAGAAGAATGTCATGTGATGATGAAGGTAGAGACTGGAGTTATGCAGCTGATGCCAAGGAATGTCGAAGATTGCCAGCAAACCCCCAGAAGCTAGTAGGGAGTCAAGGGAGGATTTGTCTACAGGTTTCAGAGGGAGCATGGCCCTGCTGACACCTTGATTTTGTACTCTAGCCTCCAGAACTGCGAGATAATCAATTTATGTTGTTTTAAGACACCCAATTTGTGGTACTCTGTTACAGCAGCCCTAGGAAACTAATACAGGTACAATGTAGATAAACATAGATAAGGTTTATTCCTTCGGTTCCAGGAAAGAAGTAAGAACCCATGAGCAGAAATGAAAGGGAAACAGATATAGACTCAAGGTAAACAAGAACTTGCTAGTAGTTAAAGCCACCACAAAATGAAATCAAGGGCTTTAGCAAGTTGTGAATTCCCTACTATTACAAATGTTCGAGCAGGATGGAGCAGGGATGTTGTGGAGGTAACTTATGCATCAGATGGCAAGTTAGACTGCATGATCTCCAGTTCCAAAATTCTATGAACCTATATTAAAGTCTTGTCAAATAAGGGTTGGCATCTTCCTTTTCATCTTTTGTTTCAGTAAAGGGTATAATAGAATGGCATAGCATGGTAGATAAGATTTCAATTTAAGCTCTAATGCTTACTATTAGCTATATCTAGCTATTTGTCTTAGGTAGGTTCCATAACCTCTCTAGCCTCAGTTTCCCACCTGTTAAACAGGGACAGTAATAGTAATCACTTCACAGTGTTATTCTGCGGATTAAACTAGTTAATAATTTAAATTGCTTAGAACAGGACATGGCATATAGCAAGTAGCATAGAAGTGGTGGAAAATATGCTTGCTTTCATATTGGTTAGACATAATGCATTAGCACTGTCTTTCCAACTCTGCTAGAAGTGGTTGTATTTTATCATGTCTTGTTTTCCTTTCTAGATCCAAAATTATACCATTTGGATCATTTATTGACCAAATATAAGCAGTGTGATACTTTTGTCAATTTTCTCATTACAAGCTGTGATAATGTGTTAGTCAACTGCTAGGATGTGTTTGTGTGTGTGTGTGTGTGTGTTTTAAGTGTTTCTGAGCAATAAATCATTCAGCAGCATCATTTTCAGATAATAAAGACTATAGTTTACCCTAATAAAGCTCATCTGAGTTTTTGGGTAGCAGTGTGCTGGAGTTAGAGGAAGATGTGAAGTTTTCAAAATTAAATCCTCAGAAATTCAAATATTTTATTAAATGAGCATCTGTTGGTGACTGAAGGGTAATTTCAGCTTCAGGAGCTAGTAAAAGTGTTTTTCAGCATATGAAACTCTTAATAAATGGTACATAATTGTCAAAAAGAAATCCTCATTCAGTGACTTAAATTTAACAAAATGTGCTTTTATTTCTTCCCTCTATAAGATTACTAATCACTGCATCATTTGGGTGCATAGGTGACAGCTCTGACAGGTTAATGATACCCCAGGCAAATTCACAGTTACTTTCAGTGAAGCAAACCCATCAATAAACGTGGGTAGCAGTGCTTACACCTATAGAATTCTGACGCCAGTGATTATGTAACCATTGGATACACCAGACAGAGGGAGGACAGATAATCAAGAACTGGATGTTCTTTCCGTAAAGAGCAACTGAATGAGATAGCACAGCTTTTAAACCTAAGGATATACTGAAAGGCAATGAGGAAGGCTGTGAAAGTATTGAAAAGCATATTTGATTTAAGGTGATGTTTAGAGGCCATCAAGAGTAATAGAAAGGAGAGAGGATTGAGTTTCTCGAATTGATATGTGCTTTGTTATAACTCTTTCTTCATTTTCACAAAGGGAAGCAACCGGTGTGGTGAAAAGACCAGCTCTTCACTCGGTGTTTAATCCTAGTTGTAACTATAGTTGTGTGCTTTGTGAGCCATTTGTCCTCAGACAAGTTCCATGAATTCCCTGCTCCTCAATAACCTCATGTATAAAATGTTGGTAATAATGTCTTCCCTTGGGATTGTTATCAAAATTAAACAAGCTAAGTATATGAGCCGGCTAGCTCAGTATTTCGCAATAATAACGACCGAATAATTGTTCACTTTTGTCTTTTAAGCCTCTTCATCTTTTAAAGGTTCCAAATTCAGGGTTTGGGAGCAGATAAGGGTAAACTTCATGGATGAGTCAAACCACAGTTTATTGAAAATATCTAGCTCCTAATTCATCTCAATTAGGTAAATATTTCTTGAGTATCTACTACATGCCGAGTACTGAGGAAATAGAAAGAAGGATCAAAGATTGTTCTTTAACTTCTGGGAATTTCAATTCAAAATCAAGCAAAAGGAAACACAGTCTTACGATCCATTGAGAAATGTCTTGCAAGATGAATGAACTGACTTTAAGCATGTATTCAGCATTCACACAGATTGACTGATTCAATGAGAACACAGCACAACCTTAAATTATCTTTCCCTTTCAATATTTATTTGTGGACTTTACAGGACTATTAATTATCTTGGCAGTGTTTCTTCATTTGTACCTATTTTCTTTCTTTAGTTACTGTCTTAGTCTGTTTGGACTGCTGTAATAAAATACCATAAACTGGGTGGCTTATAAACAACAGAAATTTGGTCCTCACAGTTCTGGAGGCTGAGAAGTTCAAGATCAAGGCACTGGCAGATTCAGTGTCTGGTGAGGGCTTGCTTCCTGGTTCATAGACAGCTGCCTTCTCTCTGTGTCTGCGCATGTTGGAAGGGGTGAGGGATCTCTCTGGATTCTCTTTTACGAGGGTGCTAATGCCATTCATGAGGGCTCCACCCTCATGACCTGATCACTTCCCAAAGGCACGCCTCCTAATACTATCACATTGAGGGGTAGGATTTCAACATATAAATTTGGGGGAGGGGGACACAAACATTCAGTCCATAACAATTACTATTCCCTTTTCTTTCCAAATTAGTTTGTGTGGCAGTGTGGAAAAACCACCACATGAGGACGGTAACCAACTACTTCATAGTCAACCTTTCTCTGGCTGATGTGCTCGTGACCATCACCTGCCTTCCAGCCACGCTTGTTGTGGACATCACTGAGACCTGGTTCTTTGGACAGTCCCTGTGTAAAGTGATTCCTTATTTACAGGTAATTGTTTTTCACACTTTTTTGGTTCAAACACAGGTGTTACTGGAAGTATTTTCAACTATAGTCATGGCCCTCAAGTAAATTAACCAATGAGATAAGAAAGAAATATACTTGCCTGAGAAATTGGCAAACTTAAGGAAAATAATATTTGAGACTTTCTGGGTAAACAAGTTAAGTTCTCAGTAAAAGTAAAGCAACAGAATCCTCAAGTCATCATTAGATGCTGCACAAACATTTTACTTCTTGGATCTCTAATTTTCTGATTATAAAATAAGGAACCTGAACAAATTAATGATTGAGCCTCTCCCAGTCCAAATAATCGAGAGCCATCTATTTTTATAAGTAGTTTCATTTCATACTGAGAAATTAAGAGCTATGTGATCAAAGCAATGCAGTGAACAGGTTTTAGTGTAGCTTCTGAGTCAAACTGCTAGGTCTGGAATCTCTGCTCTGCCATTCACGGATTGTATGCTATCAAGCCAAATACATAAGCTCTTTGTGGTTCACTTGTTTAAAAAGAATAATAATTTTTATTACAGCTATCTCCTATGGTTGTTATAATAGTTTACTTAGATGATTTATATAAATAACCTGGCAAAGTGATTACTCTCTGGAAGATGATGATCTTATAAAAACATAGTGTGGTTCTCAATAAACATCAGTCATCACCATCATCATCATCCAATGTTCTATTGTTCAGTAGTGAAAGCAGCTTTTCTATAGCTAATTGCCTTTCAAGAAATTAAGAACAAATACTTTCAGAGTAATTTTCTTATTGGTATTCTGATAGCTCTAAAATCTTTGAAAAAAAATTCCCAAACTGGTGGCCACAGCCACAGTACTCAAAGACATGGATTCCCTTTAGCAATTGGACAATGAGTGAAATGGTAGCCACTCTCTACTTGTCTTCCCAAAACCGTCCTCCACCCCCTAGTCCTTATTCCATCCAGTCTCTTAGATGGTGATCACAAGATATGGAGGAAATAAAAAGATGCTTCCAGTAATGATACTTGGTAGAACAACTGGACATTGGTATGCAAACAAATGAATCCAGACACAGGCCCTACATCTTTCACAAGAAGTAACTCAAAATGGATCATAGACTTGAATGTCAAACACAAAACTATAAAATTCCTAGTAGATAATATAGGAGAAAATCTAGATGACCTTGGATATATTGGTGAATTTTTAGATACAACACCAAAGTCATGATCCATGAAAGAAATAATTGATAAGCTGACTTCATTAAAATTAAAAACTTCTGCTCTATGAAAGACAATGTCAAGAGAATGAGAAGAAAAGTCACAGATTGGAGAAAATATTTGAAAAAGACACATGTGATAAAGGACTGTTACCTAAAATATACAAAGAACTCTTAAAACTCAATAATAAGGAAACAAACAACCCAGTTAAAAAATAGGCCAAAGACCTTAACAGATACCACACCAAAGAAGATACACAGATGGCACCGATATATATGAAGAGATGCTCCTCCTCATATGTCACCAGAAAAATGCAAATTAAAACAACGAGACACCACTACATACCTATTAGAATGGCCAAGTTCTGGCAAGCTGACAACACCAAATGCTGGTGAAGATGTGGAGCATTCATTGCCGGTGAGAATGCAAAATGGTACAGCCACTTTGGAAGACAATTTGATGGTTTCTTGTAAAACTAAACACAGTCCCACTATATGATCCAGCAATTGCTCTTCTTGGTATTTACCCAAAGGAGCTGAAAACATGTCCACACAAAAATTTTGCATATAAATGCTTATGGCAGCTTTATTCATAATTAATAGAACTTGGAAGCAAGCAAGATGTCCTTCAGCAAATGAATAGATAAATAAACTGTGGTAAATCCAGACAATGGAATATTATTCAGTCCTAAAAAAAAGAAGTGAGATAGCAAGCCATGAAAAGACACAGAGGAACCTTAAACGCTTATTACTAAGTGAAAGAAACTAATCTGAGAAAGCCTACATACTATACAATTCCAATAATATGACATTCTGGGAGAGAGAAAACTATGGAGAAAGCAAAAAGATTAGTGGTTGCCAGGGGTTGGAAGGGATGAATAGGCAGATCACAGAGAATTTTTAAGGCAGCATAATGTATGATAGTATAATAGAGGATACATGTTGTTATACATTTGTCCAAACCCATAGAATGTACAATACAAGAGTGAACTGTAATGTAAACTATGGACTTTGGGTGATTATGATGTATCGATGTAGGTTCATCAATGGTAGCAGATGTACCACTGTGGTGGGAGATGTTAATAATAGGAGAAGTCATGCACATGTGGGGGCAGGGGGTATATGGGAAATCTCTGTACCTTCTCTTCATTTGCTGTGATCCTAAACGTGCTCCAAAATATGAAGTCTTAATAAAAACAAAAAGTTGGAGGAGACCACAAGTAGCCCATTGCTAGAAATTATATTGATTAGGCTTTTGGATCCGAAATGTTACAGAGAGATCTTTAGCTTGATAGTTCTTCAACGACCTCTTATAAAGAGAAGTGATAATTTTTTAGGTCAGACATCCTTGATAGCACAGTGAGTGAAAAATGCCGTGGAAGCTATAAGCTTCATTGCAAACACTAAGTTTAACTATAAGGTTAGTTTACGTCAGTTGGCTGAAAACCATGAATAGGTTACAAAAGTAAACTGTAGCAAAGTTTTTGAGCAAAATGCTACATTGAACAACAGAGAAAAATATCCTCATAGAAAAACATTTGTAAGAAATGGGCCTTATGGTGTTTGCGTGGAGACACTGGGGAAATCATAAACAGCGGAGAATTCTAGTATTTCACCATCTCTGTAGTACTTCTAGCAAAATTTTTATTTCTCTTGGTTCCAGTAACCACCCAGGGGGAAATTTTGGAGATCCTCTTAAGTTTCAAGCTGGCTTCAGTTGTCTAGAATCTTTTGTTGGCTGAGAGAAAATATTTCATGCTCTCTCTGTGAACCAGAAGATTCCCGCCACCAGTGGAGAGTGGGGTGATGAGGGAGGGGTGCAGCACCCTGTGGGACGTGCAGTCCTGCTCTAATGCGCAGTGATGCCTTTCTACAGACCTGGCATTCAGATTCTCCCATGAGCACTCGAGGAGACTGCAAGCAGCGAGTGAGGCAGAGCATGGCATGGAGGGCATAAGCACTCAAAGTTATTGACAGTATGCTTTCACACTGCACAACTTGTTAACAAGTCCTACAGTTGGAGGGACAGCTTCATCTTCTGATAGATTCCACCTGCTACTCCATAAACAGTGTCCGGTCTAGTTAACTCCTCAGTTGATCCTCTTCTCCGTAAGCCAAGGAGAAAACTACTGAGTGACCACAGGATCTGAGTCAGATGGGAGAGACTAGATCCATTCGTTACCTCATTCAACATTACTTCCTAATGGAAAGTTGTAAATGCACAAAAATACGGGTGTACTGGTAAAACTAGTATCTCCAAATTCTCTCAATATTTATTGTCCATTTTCCGTAGACTTTGTCCAAACGGAATGAACGGTGCCAAGGGGCGATAAGCCAGTCACTTAAATTGGACTAGGTTTTTCCCTTTGTTGTGATGTTCTGAATCTGCTGGCTTTTATCCCTGATAGGGTGCTTATGTCCTACTGAATATTTAAAAACATATTACAAAATACCCAGCCAAATTTTAAGGTTATTTGGTTTCATTTAAGATTCCTTGGACACTTACTCATTTTCTATGATTTATATGCTCATTTTCTTCTAAATACAATACAATACAACCTTTAGATTTATGATTGATATACTACAACACTTCAGCATATGCTCAAAAATCTTTAAAATCTCACAGATGTAATAAAGCTTAGATGAATGATTAAAGTAATTCTTTTGTATCTTTAATAATTTTGTAAACTGACAGCCATTAACATTTATTGGGCAATTTGCTGAATAATTATCATGGATTTCTCAGAAAATTATAATACATTTTATTTCTCTTCTCACACTTACAAGAGCAGTTGGCTACTTTTTCAGAGTGATTTTTTTTTTAACTGCAGAAGAGGCTTTGCACAGGCAATGCCAGGAAAAGAAGAACAAAAGCCAACTGAGATGGGGGTGGTGGGTGCTGGGTGGTTGGAGAGGATCCCTCGCTCTCTCAGTCACGCTTTCTCACCTTCCAATCTATTAAGACCTGTCATTTAAATCTGTGATATGGCAAAATTTTCCATTTCTGCTCATCATGGATCTCTGAAGGTCTCCTTTTGTCATATCTATGTGCTAGCATAAAACAGACTCAGTCTCCACCAAAGAAAGTCTCCAATGTTGCCCTGACCACAGGGTGCCCGTAGTATGAGTGTAAGATCAAGCTCCTGACAGCAGAAGAAGTTCACATCGTCTCACTCCACTTCATAATCCCTCTGGATTCATTTCCTTAATGATTTACGATCAGGTCAATTTGAGCTTATATCAAAATCTAAATGAAAAAGGCACCCAGAAGTGCACTCCTAGAAGTAAAAAGCAGCAACAAATCTCATTTATCATCACTTACAATAAGATGCAATTTTATATCTCCCCCAAGAACTATTATAAATTGGATGCTAGTGTGTATTATACAACAGCAAATACAGTCATACAGCGAATATTAAATCATTGATTGCCAAGGGTCCATTCAATGGATTCTGCTATTAGATTAACCAGACCAGCATATTCTCTCACGTTGCCACATACCAGAGAAGGCACTGCACCTCGGCTCACTGTTGACACTGGATGGCAGTCTTTCAAGTGAACTGTTTTGGATTACTACTGTCTAATAATAGAGGGAAATACTAGAAATGACTTTCCAATTTGAATCATACTACTTCTATCCCATTCACCCATGTTGATTAGAATTCATGAATAATAAATTGCTAAGACTTGTTGAACATTTTACACTTCTAATTGCTAGATTGGATAAATATAGCCTTGCCCAGCAACTATTAAAAGTCAACTGTGCAGATCTAGACTGCCACAGTTCTATTCTCAAATTAGCAACAGTATTGAGGTGCCCTGGGTGTTTGGCATATTTGCAGGGAAGGAAGGAATGGAGGTTAGGAGAAAAGGGAGATTGGTTTGAGAAGGAGTCTTGATAAGGTAGCACCATGGAATTCCCAAGAGTCATCAACCAGTCTAAGCTAACTCTGATAGAGCTCAACCCTTTAAGATTACACTTAAAATGTAATTTACCCTCCAAGAATTGAGCATAGTTTAGGCCTTTATTTGTGATTTCTATGATTATTCTTCAGCAAAAATCAGTCTGTTCTTATTAAAAGCTAGAACTCCAAGCTTGAGAATGGAAAACTAATAGTATAATCATCATTTTCATTGCCATAATCAAAGTAAGTAATAACAAACACTTACACAGCATGTATGTGCCAGCCCTGGGCTAGGCATTTCACATCTCAACTGACTTCCCTACGATTTCATGATTGGGTACTATTATCACCCAGTTTTACAGGTAAGAAAACTGAGGCACAGAGAGGTTAAATAACTCACCCAAGATCACACTTTTATCAAGTGAGATAAGATTCATGCCCAGGAAATGTGGATGTAGAATTGATTCCAATTATACTCTGCTGCCTTTCCCAAAGAGAATCCAAATAATCAGAGTGGCAAGAATATTATCCTATCAATTTCACACATTTAGCAGGGAAAATAACAACACATACACCTCAGGCTGAAAGCTGTAAAGTGGGTCACCCTACATTGCACAGCTGGCTGGTGGGAGAGTGAGAATAGATAGGTCATCCTGATGCTTAGCCCAGAGCCCTTTCTCCTGTGCCGCGCTGGCTCCTAGATCTTTTCACGTATATGCACCTATGGTCAATGCATCAACAGGGAAGGTCCTGACGTAACAGGCAGAGATACCTGCCCTTCCGCATATTGTGGCATCAGTACAACTAGGACAGAGAAAAGAGAGGATGACTGGACCGCATCTGTTACCTTAGACTGAGGCTTACAACTCTTCATTAATTTCAAAAAATGTATTTATTAAGCATATCTAACACTGTGCCAGGTACTGGGGCCAGGATTGTGAAAAAAAAAATAGCAATCCCTCCTGCCATAGAGATTTGTTCCATAGAGAAGATAGAAAATAAATAAATTTATTAAACAAAATAATTGTACTATGTGCTAAGTACTAAGAAGAAAATAAATAAAGATCTGTAATAAAAAAAAATAATGGGAAAGAGATTGAGGCTTCTTTTTAAAGACAGGATGTTGAGAGTGATACCAGAATCAAGGTTCATCCAGTATAGGAGTATACATTAAATATAATTCATAAACTGATCATGTGGGTGTAGGCATACTTAACACATTTCTTTACTATTTCCTCAAAGTTCCAAGTTAAAGTATCATTTGTGGTGTTGTTAATTATGTGGAAATCTGGGTGAGGTGAACTTATTTGAATTTTAGAGGTAAGTTGCTTATACCAGCAATTAGCAAACTATGGTAAGGAGATCCATATGCAGAACATTTTCTTTTAGCATAACTCATGCTTTTCTTTGGGTGTGATATGTTGGAATGAACTGATGTACAAATAGCCTTTGTTATTTGAAAATATGAAATGAGATGCCCATAATTCAAGGATGCTAATTAAATGCAATTGCAATCAATTTCCTATATGATAATTCATAAGAAAAACTTGTCATATTATTCTCTATAAGGGAAAAAGAGATTTACAGTTCACACTAAACATACGTGTTTTATTTTTGCCACTTGAGGATATGGTTTCCCCATCAATGGAAAAGTTTCAAGGCAAAGTAATGATAGTAATTATTCAAAGAATGCCATGTTATAAATTAATACATTTTGCATTAAAAATTGCAATGTTTCCATAGCATCTTTTTCGTGTTTAATAAGAAATATGGGTTTTTCCTAATATATTTCTAATATTATTATTTGTCAAATTCTTTTTTTAGTAGAAAGCACTTGCACAAAATGATTTTCGGCAACTTTGAACATGGTTATCTGTTGTGACTACCTTTCTAATATAGTAAAAATGTCGAGTGATCCATTTAACACCTGGTGCTTCTCTATACTGTGATCTTTTTTCTCTAGACTGTGTCAGTGTCCGTGTCTGTCCTCACACTGAGCTGCATTGCCTTGGATCGATGGTACGCGATCTGTCACCCTTTGATGTTTAAGAGCACAGCCAAGCGGGCCCGGAATAGCATTGTCATCATCTGGATTGTCTCCTGCATTATAATGATTCCTCAGGCTATTGTCATGGAGTGCAGCACCATGCTCCCCGGCTTAGCCAATAAAACCACTCTCTTTACAGTGTGTGATGAGCGCTGGGGTGGTAAGTACGCTGTGACCCACAAGCTGACATTTATATTATAGCTGCAAACTGAACATTTGATTTGCATAACCATTGTAAAGCCGACCTCGTATATTTTATTGGAATTTGTTAATATATTTGGTTTTTGTAAAAGCATGAAAACCAAGTTGAAACCCAAAATAGTTTCACAGAATAACTATGCCTATCTTGGTCCCTTGGAAATGCTAGGCACTGTTTTCTAGTTTTCAGATAGAGAATGAAAGGAGGAGTTTATTCCACAATTCAGATTTGGTTACATTAGTTTTTCCTAAAAAATGAAAAGGACTCAGGGCCAGCCTGGCATAGTGGTTAAGTTTGCAGGCTCGACTTTGGTGGCGCGGGGTTCATGGGTTCAGATCCCTGGCATGGACCTACACACCGCTCATCAAGCCATGCTCGATCCCACATACAAAATAGAAGAAGATTGGCACAGATGTTAGCTCAGGGACAATCATCCCCACCAAAAAAAAAAAAAAACAAAAAAAAAATGAAAAGAACTCATTTATATAAATCCAAATATGTATTCTGGAATGATTAGCATTTTGTAAGATGATTCAACATTATACTGCCTCAAGTGTCAAGTTCCCTAATGGTTTCAAATACAACTGGATTTTTCATTGTAAAACCATGTCCTACCTGGGAACATGACTGGAGTTGAGTAGGTGGACATATGCTGTTCTCTGAGTCAAATTATCTAGATTTGCTTTCTCTATTCATAACATATTAAATTGATAAATTTTATCACTGGCATAATTATTATATGATTTAAGAATTATATTAATTATGAATCCTTTTTGGTTTCCCATTTGATATGTATGGTAGTTAAAAATTTAGACAAGCAGAAGTTGGGAGGCCTTATGCTCCTTTGGTTCAAAAGTTTCAGTGACAGTCTTTGAGGTTTTTCTGTAATAGTAGAAAACCTTCTATCAGTGATGAAGCTTCTGGCAGCTTCTATCAGTGCCTGGTCATGGCACAAATCTGGATACAGCAAAGAATGACAGGAAATAAAATAATCCTGCATTTCAGCATAGCAGGTGCAATTTACAAAATTATCCCGTGAAATTTGAGGAGAACGATCTGCCCTCTTCTGGATAAGTATATAACAATGGCGTATGTTTAGGGAATTTAAACATTAGGAAAGCGTTTGTTTATTAGAAAGCTGTACATTTATGCTTATTAGATTGATGTATCAAAAAAAGCAGTGCACCCAAGGAATTCCTTAGGGATCTGGCATTTTGAAGTATTTGAATCTTTGATTTTATGTTAATTCCTACCTTGATACTTTTATTGGAACATTGAAAAGAGAGAAAGTCAGTAACTGAAAAATGAGACTTATGCTTGTACTATAGCAAGATAAAATTTAAAAGACATTGGAATTATTTCAAATATTATCCAAAGATCTATAACAACTAAAATTTCATAATTTGCTTTATCTATTACCCCAAATATTATATACCCTTTTTTTTATTGTTGAGATTTACTCTTCCTTTTTAACATTGCAATTCTTTTGCTGTGCTTTCTCTGGCTCATCTTCAGTTTTTCTCGACTTTCCCCATTAACAGTGCAAACAAAAACAAAATGAATGGGAAATTCCAAAACGGTAGGAATATTTCTTAAGTCTCTTAAGTCCCATTTGTTTAATTTTCAAACAACATCTTGAGTACTTAGGATATGCCAGGAATTGTGCCAACCTGGAGAGAAACAGACTCTGCCTAAGGGAACACATTCTACCCAGTGAGGCTGAAAGGCAAATAAACAAATGTGTACGGTGGGATTAGTATTTTAATATACTGATATACAACATGCTAGGAATACAAATGAGAGGACAAACTGAGTCCTGGTCATATGAACAGATATTTACAGAGGAGGTGCTAACATTTCAGCAAAGCATTCAAGATGAGCAGGAATTCTCCAGGCCAAGAAGAGAGAAAAGGGTGTCCCAGAAAGCAAGAAAATCCACACCATGGGCACCATCACTTGAAGAAGAAAGGAAGAGGGTCCAAACTTGTAGTTTCTGGAATGTAGGGTATGCAGACTAAAGAACTGTGTTTGGAAAGAAGGTGGATTGGGACTGATTGTGACATGTCTCTTATGCAATTCCTGTACAATGAGTTATAGTTGGAAAATAGCCTAAGGATCTCTTGATCAGAATGCTTTAGTTAATTCATGATGAAATTGAGCCATAAATTAAATTAGTTGCTCAAGATTTTGAAGCAAACAAGTACATTTAAGTCTAAGTTTCTAACTCAAAAGTTGGGATCCTTTAAATTTATGGAGATGGTAATTAGATAAAATACCCACCTATTATTTAATATATGTCAGTAGTATTTTCTGTAAAGTATTTTGGTAACTAGTTTCATTTATAAGTTTGTGGGCTGCCTTTATGACCTTCTTTTTGCTTTGCCCTGAATGATTAAGTAGTATTAACCCCCATTAACAACAAGACTGCAGAGCTAGGGATTTCTGTAAGTTATTATGATTAAGCAGATAGCCACATCATTTTCTAATTACATTTGAGCAATAAATATAAATATACAAAATTAATTTCAACCTCTAGCATTTTATTATCTAGCTCTAGCATGGACATGTTCTTTCAAAAAAAACAATTATTGTTGAATACCAAAAAAATCTAAATTCAGCCTTCAGAAGTTATTTAGGAGAACTATTTGAAAGTGATTTTATATTAGCCTATAATTACTTAAAATGATTATAAAGGCTAAAATAAGTGATAGTGAATTGAGTTGATCATCCACAAAATTGAATGGTAAAATCTATGAAGTTATCTTTTTGAATATTAAATGAAATTGTTAATCAGTTAATGTTCTCAAGAAAAATATAAAAGAATTCAAAGCAGGTTCTTATCATTTTCCTCACTAGACATTTAGTTTATTATAATGATTTTTACATATCATAAGCCTTGTTAAAGTAAGCAATTTATAAGTCTATGTTCAACTTAAAATGTTAAAATTCAGACACATGTGTGAGAATCACAATCTAAAAGCACCATAGGAAAGTATATTGTACAGTATCAGCTCTCTAAAGTCCAAACATCTTTAAAATCCAAATATCATTTAGCCCAATTTTTAAAAATTTGCTGTGAAATATCTTGTATTTGAGATTAATTCATGAACTTTATTTCTTATCTTTATCCTAAGTTAAATCAATAATATAGTCATAAGAGTAGACAGTGATATCACACCTACATAGGTTGTAGGTTGATATCCTACAACCAATAGTACAGCATGGAGTCAGTAAACAACGTGGTTACTTCATCCACAGCTATCAAATCACTTCTGGGAAAGTCCTGCAAATGCTGTCCAATTCACGGTGCAAAATAACTGAGAACTCTGTCTTAAGGACAGTATTACCAGCCATATGTAATATTTTAAGGGTAAATAATTTTTGCCACTCATTATATTCATCATTGCCTATGGCTTGTTCAAAAAAAAGACCGCAAACCATAACTTCTGACAAATACACTCAACACTCAAAAACAAATAAAATGTTAATATTTGTTTTAAAGATCTTTAAAATATTTATTTGTCAATGTTCATTGTTTGTGTCAATCACATCAACTCACACTTTTAAAATTGTTCCAGAATTATATCCATACTTTCTTGATTGCTTGGTTTGAAATGTATAGTTTCACAGGAAAGATCCTATTGGAAGGAAAGTAACTTACTTTTTGCACTCAATCAAAGATATAATTGTCTCACTATTCATTCATCCAATGTTTATGAGCATGTACTGTTTGTCAAACATTGTTCTGGACACTGGGGATTCGTAATCTCTCTCTTCTTGGATCTTACGGCCAAATTGTTTTTGGTGGTCTGAAAAAAAGACACAAGGGAGCCCTTCTTTACATTCAAACTAATCGTGGCATCTGGCCAATTATGAGATTTTGAAAATATATAAATATGTGTGTATGTGTATTAATAGGAACATTTATTGAAAACACTTATTAGAGAGAAGATGATAAAACATATTAAAGATTCAGGTAAACTCTAATGAATCCATAAACTTTGAAAAGACAGTCCAAATTGACTATTTGGGAAAATATATTTAATTACTTGTCCATTGAATCCCTGATAGGTATAACAAGAAGGAGAAAAATGTTCATAGTTTTTAGATAATTAAATTAACATGTTGGCTCAATAATGAACCTTAACTCATCTGAGAGAAATTAAGTTTTGTCTGTCTGATATATGACTATTCTTTAATCTCTGATTTCAAAGACTAAATAAAGATCTACGTTTGCTCCTGATTTGTTAGTTTGATGTATATGCAAAAATTTATTCAGATTATGCCTATTCATCAGTTGACTAGAGACACTGATTTTTAATGGTTGTCAATGTTTGATATGCTGTTTCCTAATTTAGATAAGGCTTAAGTGGAACAAATTTTATGTAGCTACATTTTAGGTTATATATAAATGTCTTAAAATATATTGAAGACATTGCTTATCAAGTGCAGAGACTTCAAAGATAGTCTCAACACATACGATTTAAAATTTCAGGGGCATTTCTGGGTTTTCAATTAGCTTAGACTCTAAGCATGAAATGAGGAATTTAAGACTATCATGTTTCCCCAATTATCTATAATAATCTTTTTATGAAAACAATCTATCCTAGCCTGCAAGTATAATTTTGCTTGATCAACTTTTCTCTGTGTAGGTATTCATTATCATAATATGCATTTGCCAGCCAATTACATATTTTTCCAACTATTCATAAATATACTGACTGCAGAATGAGCTCTCCCATCTGTTTAAAACTACAAGCTGTTATCACAGTGATGGTATCCATACCTGCAGTTAAAAAAAAATTACCTATCAAATCTATCTGCTTCTGCTCACTCAATTTTGTCTGAGGCAGACATCAGGGCTTCACAGGTATGTAAGCTTCAAAGGTATATTTTTATGTAGGAAGCTCATGTGACAACTTCTTCAAAACAAATAAAAGTTCAAAGCACTCAGATGCCTGGGAAGTGCTGAGGTCACTCTCCACTTCCTTTGAAATTGGCTCACCAAATGCTGCTCAGGCTGTAGCACTTCAAAGGGAAGGGCTGTTTACTATTACTCCAGTCAGGCTGCTTACATTCTATCACTTTTTATGTAACTGACCTGTTTTACAGGATAAACTTGAAAGGAAGTTAGAAACTGATGAGTGAGGTGTGAGCCACCTGGGCCACAGAGAAGCTAAAAATGATACCTCAAATTTCTCTCTTAGACTTCCCAGAGCATAAGCACCCTGCTTCTCCCTCCGAAGATTACAATGGAGAAACACATGTACCCCAGAAAGAAGACAGAGTTTTAGAAGGAAGAATGAGACTAATAACCCAACCAACTCTAGAAGATAAGGCTATGGAATCAAGATTGGGGAGGATATTCAACTCATAGATATGTTTGAAATATACTCAATAAGAAATAAATGAATAATTGTTCAATAAATGTTATCAATTATTAGAGTCATCATCATAACTATTAGTACAAATTGCCTTGTTAACCCTGAGTACAAATTGCCCTTACCACATTTGATGACATAACCAAGTCTTCATGCTTCTACATGACCTTTCAGAAGTAATGAAAAGAATAAAATGCATGGAGATGATAACATTATCCCTCAATAACAGTCTGGAACCAACCTTATTGCCAAAGTCAAAGTCAAAATAAGTTATGTAATTTTTAGAAGTGAAAAGAAAACTTTTATTTTGTTAACATTCAGTTAGAATTATATCAAATTATTGCATTTAATATCCATGGAATCTATGTAAAATATATTCTGTTTCCTGTTTTATGTTTAAGTAAAAGTAACTGGATTGCTGTGATATATTCAAATACTAGTATAAGGAAAATACCCTTTAAAGCATTTAAAAAGTTAGTAATGGGTATATTTTAGAAAAGTTAAAAAAATTAATCTTAAGCCGCAATGCCATTCAATAATTGATTAATTGACTCTTTAATAAATGCCTAATCTGTGATACTTATCACCTGTGTACATAGAATTAATGATAAATAAGAAATCACTACAAACCTAGAGGTGCTTATGCCTAATTAGTGAGATAGATGTAAAAAAAAGAAAACACCGAGGGGGCAAGCCCGGTGGCATAGAGGTTAAGTGCTCGCGCTCTGCTGCCAAGTCCCAGGGTTTGGATACGGGGCAAGCACTGACACACCGCTTATCAAGCCGTGCTGTGGCAGCATCCCATAGAAAGTGGAGGAAGATGGGCACAGATGTTAGGCCAGGGCCGGTCTTCCTCAGCAAAAAGAGGCGGGTTGGCATGGATGTTAGCTCAGGGCTGATCTTCGTCACAAAAGAAAAAAAAAAGAAAAAGAAAATACCCATATTGATTTGAAAACTAACTTTGGAAAGCCCTAAAAATCTCATTTTTATTAAAAGTACATGCATACATACATATACACAGACACATATACAACATAAAGAGGAATTTTGTATATGTTCCAGTAAGTCAACAAAAACAATCATTATCAAACGTTTGTTGTATTTATTTTTCCAAATTTTTCTACATTTGTATTTGAAGATACAACTTGGAATAGCTTCCCATTTCTCAGGAAACTTATATTCTAATGAGGAGGAATCAACTGAGTTTACATTCTCTTCCAATTTTAACAAAAGTATTAGTAATTTAAGTTTTGATGGAGTCATGTCCCTTCTTATAAATGCAAGTATAGGACAACCCAAATAAATTTGTATTAATTAGTCAGAAGTAATCAAAACAAAAAAGGGCCTTTCGAGAAATGAACACTTGACTTTACATAGATTGTGATAGCACAAATTAAGAAACAACTAATTGCTATTCCACCCTGAGTACATAAATGAAATTAAGACTTCACTTTTAGTATATGTATACATATATACTAAGTAAATGTAAGTAGTTAAGTATTGCAAATTATTTTTTTCCTTTTGTGTATATAACATGCCAGTGAAATCATATACAAGGTAAATATGTACTTTGAGGAAAAAATATTGACAGATGTATCTTTTTAAAAAACTATGAATTATAAGATTTTATTATTTTGGGTTTCATTCCAGGTGAAATTTACCCCAAGATGTATCACATCTGTTTCTTTCTGGTGACATACATGGCACCACTGTGTCTTATGATATTGGCCTATCTGCAAATATTTCGTAAACTCTGGTGCCGACAGGTATGTCATTTCAAATAATTTCCTTGTGTTTTCTTTAGGAAGTGTTTAAAAACAAAATTTAAGAATGGATTAAGTGAACATAATATGCTTAACAAAGGCTTGTGTGTTCTGCTAAAATAATGAGTCCCTAGCCATGGAAATATGACTAGGCATTTTTTTTTAGAGTGATATTTAGGGAATGTATTTTATGTACTGCCTTAATGACTTTAAATTTTAAACTTCTGTGATTAACTGACTTGATTTTTATCTAGGACTAATATGATTAATTTTACTTTTTATAAGAAATAGCAAATAAAAATTCCTTTAAAGTTTCCTGAGACTGTAAGTCTAGAACGTTGTATTTTTGATGAGAGTTATGTAATATATTTTTAACAGATAGATTAAATCTCCATCTTCAAAGATCTTACTTTTTTAGAACAGTAGAAGAATCAGGCAGAATTTAGAATATTAGAAACTGTTTATACTGCTGATTTGGGAGTACTGAAATTGTTAGGTAATTTTGCTATGTCAGCGAATGTTTGTATTCATTCACTTATTCATTCATTAAATATTTATTGTATGTCTTTTGCATGCATGTCTGATAAAAAGCTAAAAGTTCCAATCTATGCCACAGATGAATTCACAGTCTAAAGGGAGGGACATAGTCAGATGCAGAGTGAAAATCGCTGTAATAGATATAAGCACAGAGGACCAGAGGAAGGCCTAGTGGAGAGAGATCTAATTCAGAGCAGGTAGCATTTAAGTTGAACCTTGATGATTGGAAGGAAATCACCAACAAATACAGGTAGTGGTACGAAGGATATAGCTCAGCCTCTTGTATTTGTAAATTGTATCTTAAACTGTCATATTTCTTAGAGATGCATCTCTCTCTTTCTCCAAACGTATGGTCAGTGCTTTGAGTTATCAGGCTTGTGGAAAGCCACACCCTTAGTTTGTTTTCACTGACATATTTTACCCAACTGAAAGGATTTACTGTGGCCATCTTAATTCATTAAAAGGATTTCACAAGCTTTTTGTTGGTCTTTTCAGAGGATAAGTCTTAATTTGGGTCTTATTCAACTCCAGTTACTCAAAGCATCTTTCAATATCATCTTTTAGTGGTTGGATAGAAGCAACAGTTGCGTTTTTCAACCCTGTATGTTTCATAATTTCAAAATTTTCTCTTTTCCTCTACTTTTGCAAGAAGCCATTTTTTTGTGACCTTTTAAATGCAGCCAGTACCCACACTTATTAGCATTCTGTTCCTCAATCTTCTTAACTAAAATAACGAATGTGTACCCTGTAAAACATGAGTGTTGATTTTCCAGATCTTACTGACAGTTACCTCAACACTCTCCACTTGGCCATGAAGCCAATGCTGCCTATTTTAGGGTGTTTGTTACTATTGCATCCCACTTATTGGTAACTATTATCACCTCAGCCAGTTTTTGCTGGGTTACTCTGCTTTTAAAAAACAACCCCAAAATATGCGGCTTGCAACAACATTTTGTCTCACTCATGTTCCATGTCAGTAGTGGAGATGGGCTGCAGCTGTAGTCCGTTCATCCTGTCATTCCAGAATTCAGTCTGAAGGAGCAGCACTTGCTGGGACATATTGTTCTGGTACCAAGGGAAAGGGCAAGAAAGCTGGAAGAAACATGCAACGTCTCTTAAAATGTCTCCTTTGAACTGGCGTATATTATGTCTCCTCGCTTTTCATTGGCCAAAACAAATCATGTGGTTAAGCTTTACCTTGAGGAAAGGAGGTATTCTTCTGTCACAGAAAGACTCCGCAAGTCAAAGGGCAATGGGGATCTTCTTACAAGCTGAGGAGTGAATAATTGGAAATGATATGGTACCAAGAAGTCAAAAAGACAGACTCAAGGTCCAGAATGCAGGAATTTCAATCCTGACTCTACAATGAAGATGATACATGATTGTATCATCTTCATTGATACATGATTGATTGACTGATCAATCATGAATTTTGTCAGTTGATATATGAATTTTGTCAATTACTTAAATTTCTGTGCCTCTCTTTCCTCATCTTTAAAGTGGGATTGTATAGTGTCTACTCATAGGGTTGTTACACTTTTTAGATGAATTAATTCAAGTGCCTGGAGCATAGAAAGTGTTCGTTAAATGAAATATCTTAATAGTATATGCTGTTATTTGGCCTTTCAACTAATCTGCTTATATTTCTAAAATAGCAAGCATGTTTTGAATTGGTATATGTGACTACATTCTTAGCACTTTTAAATAACATTATAATGACTTTTTTATTTGTCTGTCTCTTGTCTTCTACTAAGATGAAGACTGTACACTCTAGCCTTCATTTTGTATCCCTCCAGTTAGTGCATACTTAGCATATACCAGTTGTTCAATAGATACCTTATCAAAAAAAAAAAAAAGTGAGTAGAAATAAAGTGCTGGAAAAGTTTAGATAGGGAAGGATAGGAGAATACATTGCCCAGTTACTCAGAGAAAAGTTCATAGAAAAATTAGAATTTGAAAAATTTCTTAAAGGAGAAAAAACATTTAATAAACATGTAGGAATAAAGATATTTTTGATTGAGATTGAGATTTTGAGTAGAATGTTCAATGTTAAGAGCATTCCCTAGTTCCGTATTTTTACTGGTTCATGTGCATTACATGTAATAGATGCTTATATTTGCTTATTCATTTACTTACAGATTGACATAACTTTAAAACACCTTGGGGTACCTAAATCTGCCTTGTTCATCGCTGTATCCCCAAGATTTAACATGGTACATTCACAAAGAAAGTATTCAAATATGTTTGTTGAATAACTAGATAACTACCAAACCCCAAACAATTTACTTCTCCATCATTTAAGCTTATAGTTCTCCATTTCTCAAACTCTAAAATAAGTTCAAAACTGTATTGAAGGTTTAGAAATAATCCACATTCTTTTGATGAATTGTCGTGGTTTGTACCAGCCACGTGATCCAGAAGACTTGTAGTGAAATGCCTGGGCTGTGAAACTAAAAACATTTACAAAACAGATTGGAATGGAAAATGGCAAGTTCAGCTGAGCTCACTTTAGCAGCCACAATAAAGTAAATTAACCCCAAATGAGTGATTACGTAGAATTCTGCTTGAGCAACTCGATTTCCAACTGTTAATGTCTATAAACAGAGTTCCTAGGCATTATGTGTGCCATAGGCTATATCAAGTGAGCCATTACATGGAGAGCCTGTCCTATTTGCTTAAAATAAGGAAGATGCATGGATTCTGCTACATACTTTGGAATTATTAAGTATAAGATTATTAGTGAGCAAAGTGTGTGTCCTTGTCTGACTTTCTCAAGAACTTTAAAACACGTTAAAACAATTATCCGTGAGCTGCCCTGATGGCATAGCAGTTAAGTTCGAGCACTGTGTTTTGGCGTCCAGGGGTTTGCAGGTTCGGATCCCGGCACAGACCAACGCACTACTTGTTAAGCCCTGCTGTGGCAGTGTCCCATGTAAAGTAGAGGAAGATGGGCATGGATGTCAGCTCAGTGCCCATCTTCCTCAGCAAAAAGAGGGGGATTGGCAAAGGATGTTAGCTCAGGGTTAATCTTCAGCACAAAAAAGAAAGAAAGAAAGAATTATCCAATGCTTTGCTATAATCAATGGCTTAAATTCTCTCTTTCTTTGACAATGTGACTCAGAGTCAGTCTGGAAATTCTACAGACTCTTCTCTAAACCTCCACTTTTTAAGATCTGCTTAATCTTAGTTTACTTGGCCCTGTGTGGCAGCTGTCAGCATTCTTTCCAGTTCCAGCCCTCATATAATTCACCACTTCAATCTTAATCATCATGCGGACTCATGTTGATTTATTCCACAAATACTTACTAAACATCTACTATGTGTCTGGTACTGTGTGAGGAACCAGGGGGTGAACTGTAATAGATATTTGAGTCGGAAACTAAATTTCATCTTTCCAAAGTCTTTCCAAATTTGAAAGACCTTCTTCGTCTCAACTTTTATCACAATCTCTTCTATTGCTCTTTATCCTCCAATAGTCTTCTAAGAGAATTTAAAATAATATTAGACAGTGACAAGTCAGCTAATGCATGAAAATAGACAGCAAATTGTAATTGCAGAGGCAGGATCAAAAGGCACTAATTTATGTCCACACCTAGAAATAAAGAGCATCAATAAAGGTAAATAGTTAGGTAAAAATAAAAGAGACTATAAATGTATATTTTTTGTAATACTTTTCTTCTCCTATTTGACTTAAAAGACAAGAGTATAAAGCAATAATTATAAAAGTGTGGAGATTTAGTTTGTAATGTATAAAGATGTAATTCAAAGGAAGGAGGAGAGAATGAAACTATATTGGAGCAAACTTTTTGTATATTATTGAAATTAAGTTGGCATTAATGCAAACAAATTGTTTAAATTGTTAATTGCAATCCCTAGGACAACTACTAAGAGAATAACTCAAAAAAAAAGGCAGTGAAAGAAACAACATGATAATTAAAATTGTATAGTAGAAAATATCTATTTAACACAAAATCAAGCAGCAATGGAGGAATGGAAGAACAAAGTAGACATAATATAGAGAGAGAACGAATAGCAAAATGGAAAATGTAAATCATACCTTCTCAATAATTATATTAAATGTAAATGAATGAAACACTCCAGAAATTGACAGAATATAGAACAGAAACAAAAAAGCATGATCCAACTCTTGCTATCTACAAGAGACACATCTCATGTTCAAAGACACAAATAGGTTAAATGTAAAATAATGAGAAAAGATGTACTATGCAAATAGTAACCAAAAGAAAGTTGCAGTAGCTATACTAATATTGGACAAAAGAGATATTAACAAAGAGTGTTACTATAGATAAAGAGGGACATTTCATAATGATAAGTCAACCCATCAGGAAGATATAAAAATTATAAGCATATACATTTAACAATTTAAACTCACAATACATGAAGCAAAGACTAACAGAATTAGGGGAAGAAATAGACAATTCAACAATAACAGTTAAAACCTTTAA